CTGTTTCGATAAAAGTTCTCTCAGTGTGATCCGTCTCAAATCACATGCGATCCCAAGTATTCGCGAAAAACGGTTGAAATATGTGAGTTAATAGAATGAAATGTGACTATTCTCGCGGTTCCGAAAACTGAAAAACATGTAACTCGGCTCGCTTTAGACTAAATAAATTTTTATGGTAATAAACCCACTCGAATTTACCGCTTTACTTCAATATCCGGGTGCGGCCATATTGGTCAACCGTTTTAGATGAAACCCCCACCACCGATATGCTCTCTCCAGTCCTCCATGGTTATATATGAGGGAGCTCGAATATAGACGTTATGGCAAACTTTTGTACGTCCGAATTGTCCGAACAGACTTTTATGAGGGTTGAGTATAAGGCTTAAGGCGGCCATTTGCAATGGTACAACATGTTGTCAAGAGATGAATAATTCGAATTGCTCTTAGCGTTACTTGCTTCTAACGTTAATTTAAATATGAATAGAAGCGTAGAATGGTAAAAGAAACATTGGAAAAATTATTTCGCGTTGGCAGATATATGTTGGCTATGGAAACGTGACACCACCCAAACGTCGATTTTCGCGTTTTGAAGCGCGGAAACGTCGTATCCTTGCGTTCGCGGGTTTTCTGACATTCAAACGTCGATTCTCGACGTGTGAAGAGCGGAACCGCCGTACTCGAGCGCCCGCGGCGTGTCCACCACTCAAACGTCGATTCTCGCCGTGTGAAGCGCGGAAACGTCGTATCCTTGCGTTCGCGGCGTTTCTACCATTCGAACGTCGATTCTAGCCGTTTGAAGCTCGGAAACGTCGTATCCTTGCGTTCGCGGCGTTTCCACCATTCAAACGTCGAATCTCGACGTGCGAAGCGCGGAACCGCCGGATCCGAGCGCCCGCGACGTTCCCACCGCTCAAACGTCGATTCTCGCCGTTTGAAGCTCGGAAACGTCGTATCCTTGCGTTCGCGGCGTTTCACCATTCAACGTCGAATCTCGACGTGCGAAGCGCGGAACCGCCGGATCCGAGCGCCGCGACGTTCCCACCGCTCAAACGTCGATTCTCGCCGTTTGAAGCTCGGAAACGTCGTATCCTTGCGTTCGCGGCGTTTCACCATTCAACGTCGAATCTCGACGTGCGAAGCGCGAACCGCCGGATCCGAGCGCCCGCGACGTTCCCACCGCTCAAACGTCGATTCTCGCCGTTTGAAGCTCGGAAACGTCGTATCCTTGCGTTCGCGGCGTTTCACCATTCAAACGTCGAATCTCGACGTGCGAAGCGCGGAACCGCCGGATCCGAGCGCCCGCGACGTTCCCACCGCTCAAACGTCGATTCTCGCCGTTTGAAGCTCGGAAACGTCGTATCCTTGCGTTCGCGGCGTTTCCACCATTCAAACGTCGAATCTCGACGTGCGAAGCGCGGAACCGCCGGATCCGAGCGCCCGCGACGTTCCCACCGCTCAAACGTCGATTCTCGCCGTTTGAAGCTCGGAAACGTCGTATCCTTGCGTTCGCGGCGTTTCCACCATTCAAACGTCGAATCTCGACGTGCGAAGCGCGGAACCGCCGGATCCGAGCGCCCGCGACGTTCCCACCGCTCAAACGTCGATTCTCGCCGTTTGAAGCTCGGAAACGTCGTATCCTTGCGTTCGCATCGTAT